TGTATTTATGCTAAGAATTGGATTTTTCACGGAAGTTTTTTCTGAATGTCTCTTATTTTCATACGTAAACAGCAAAACACGCACACACACACAAATATGGGCACATGTATATGCTTTTAATTAAAATTGATGAAAATAGGGAAAATTTCAAATTTGGCTATTATCTTCCAGTGTTCCTTTTTTTGATTCATTAGCATGAAAAGCACGTAAATTACTTTAAGTGTAAATAAAAAAGTGTCAAAGATGAACACTACGAGTATAAGGTTGGGTATGATGATATGGACGAAAAAAAAGATGCCGATGTTATTGAGCTCTCTTTACATTAAGGGATTCGTAATAGAGTTTAGAAAAATCCATGTTTATTAAGCAGACGGTCATTTTATGCGAATGAAGGTGTAAATTCCTTAAATAATTGATCATTAACTTTAATAGTTGGACTTTTGAGTTGATATAAGCTAGACCACTACTGGAAACCTGGAAGCACTGGATGACCGTCTCGTCGTAGTATGGAACTCCTCATTAGTGCTCATCTACAATCCCGCACTAAAGGGACTCGAACCCAGGATCTTCGATCTCGCGCATGAACGCTTGACCTCTAGGGCACTGAGCTGGAATCGATCGGTGATAATGTCTAACTTCAACCAATCCACGATAGTGCACGACCGTCCACTATTGTCTTCAGTGAGTAACTACCTGTTTGATAAATATATGAGTCTATCGAAAAATAGGAAAGACTGAATCATAAAGTGTTTCGAGACCCCAAATATCAAATGAGGTCGCGTAATAACCAGGGGGTTAGAGAGGAATAGAAGGATGAAAATAATTTACGAGTCGAAATTATGGGAGATAGTTACCCGCTTAACAGATACGAACAAAAAGGTCATAACAGTAACTGAATAATAATCACGAAAAACTGTCAAAAGTATAATAATGACTGATTAATGTTTAAAATTACAAAATAAGAATAAAAGCAAAACCAAAACATACTGAAGAAGGTGATTAAGGCCAAGCAAGGATGAAAGGTTGGGTGTATCGTTTCTGCACACAGGATCTGGGCTTGAATTGGTAGACCATCAATGCCTCAAAAGGGTATGAGTTTTTGAATCGGTTTCCCATCAATCCAGTTCCTTTGATTGTATAGATTATTTTGAAGAAAGACTCTTTAGGAGAGATGTGTCAATAGTTGGTTAGGTGCTCCTGTATTCAACTAGTGATTGTCTTGCATTCGCTTTTCAAACGACACCCTGATTAATGTTCTGAAATGCGTTTAGAAAGTGATCGCTTTGTGGTCCGAAGCGGAAGTTTATGCTAAACGTATCCATGAATGGAAGGCTGACTCAAGAGAACAATACAATGCTTAGGTGAATATGTTTTTTTCAGGGATTTTGAAATTCGTTTATTCAAGATTTTAGCCACCGTATCTCATTTATATTAGGTATTCATAAAATGAGTTTTCTTTTGAACTGTCAATACTTTTTTGGATGTTGCCTTGGTGTTAAGTTTTATAGACCAATCTGGATGGATAACCATTTCTAATGAGTATCTTTTGAAGTTGAAGTAGAAATAGTTCGTTATCTAATGTGTCATTAAAATATACTTGCCTAATCCTCGAGGATAAATAGTGATTTAATTTTCTCACTCTATTTGTTTAACAAAACATGACATTGAAATATTCAGGAAATATGTGGTCTTGTACCCCTATCAATGTATGACGTAATGATACCGCCAATCATAGAACAGTGATTTGTCGACCGGACCAATGATGCATAAAACCCGAACGAGCGATCTAAAGTCTTTATCGGTCCTTCTTCCTGCCTAGCTCTGCCTGTTGAGTCCAGAACACCAATCTCAGCCTCCGCAATATGAATCATGTATTGCAAACTTACTGAGTTTTTATACGAACCGAACAGACCACGTCATACCATGAAACAGAAAATAACATTTGTATGGAAAAAGTGGCTGTGAATGTGAGAGACTGTAATTAATAGATTGAGCATAACTCAAGAACAGTATATAGGCCGTTTCGTCCTATTGTGGGACTCATATTACATTTATTTATATTTTATTATTTTAACAAGGTATTATTACAACTTTCATAAAAGTTTATAAAAGCAATATATCCCTTAAACCGATTCATTTAGAATAAAATTTCAATAATCCAAACTGTTTTTATTCAATTACACTGAAACATATGACACTTCAAACAAACAAGCAAACAAACAAGCAAACATATCACAACTACATATGTAGATATCAATAATAATTGAAGAAAATCCCAATCAAGATTTCCATTGTACCTGATTTTAAACCAGTCAACTACTTTGATATCAAGCTGAGTAGTATGAATAGTGTAAACTAATAAACGTGACTCATTTCTCTTTAATCTTTTATTTTATAATAGAAACTTCTTCACCTTTATACTTGATTAACAAAGAATTCAAAGAGACTTATTATCATTATTATGAATAATGATAACTTATTGTTACTTATAATTAAATAACCTAGTTGTATTCCATTATCCCACTTATCATTTTGATCTATCTTATCATTTTAAAGCAAAGTATGCAAATCACATTATTCGGTTGATTGTCATTTGTATTAATGAATTTACCATTTGTTTGTTCGTGATCATAAAACTGTAAAAATTTGTCTGTGTCATTGGTATTCAGTCAACAGACATGTTGATAAATCAAAATTTACAAAAAAAACATACAACTACGTGATGTACGAAGAAGCAAACAAACAAACAGAAAGTTACTGTATTCCTTTTTATGCCTATATGTTTATTTGATGTATCAGTTCTGTTTTCTTTGCCTGTCTATAGTTATAAAGGTGAAATTTTGTAATTGTGATTACTGTTAAATATGAATATTTGATGTTACCTCTTCTATTAGGGCAGTAATGAAAAGGTATCTCGATTACACTTGTTTAATATTTAAGGTATCATGGTTTATTTATGTGAAAGTTCTTTTCAAATAGAATTAAATTGGAAATGTATATACAAATATACATATGGCAAATATTTATAATAATATGCAGTCAATAGGCATTATCTCTCTTATTTAGAAATCAAAGTATTAAGTGTATGCTCTGTTTATGGATAAAACTTCAAGTGGTTCTAGTGTTTATAGTTTGAATTGAGGTCATGTACCGTGTTCTCACGCGTGACCGAAGGTCCTGAGTTCGAAAACGGCATGCGGGATCGTGGATGAGCACTGCTGAGGAGTTTTAGTCTAGGAACTAAACGGCTGTTCAACGATTCTAGTTTTAATTGAATATATATTGTCGGAGACGCAAATGTTGAGCAATTCTTTTAAATATATGTCAAACATGCGTTAGTACACCCAATGAACATAATCGAAGTTAAACATTCATATAACACATTACTGATACTATTAATAAAGATGTTTTTTATCAATGAATGACTATAGATACACATTGTTTAGCTCACTTACATTTATTTTATCCACTGATTAACAAAACAATCATATCTATGGTGTTCACGAAGATCTTGGAAGTTTTGTTCCATTCTGTAGATTTCTCTAATTACAAGAATTTATATACTGATGTGATGTAAATATAAAAAGCAGTTTCATTCTAAAATTATCAAATTTCTTTGGCGATTACAGTGTATTCTTCTTTTAGTTACAGTATGTCGCCACAGTCTAAAGCACGAAATGGTCTTAGCTAGGACATCACTGGAAACTTGGAGGCATTGGACGGCCGCTTCCTCCTGGTGTTGGAATCCTTATTAGTGCTCATTCACGACCGCACCACAGGGAATCAGACCCAGTACCTTCAGTCTCGCGCGAGAATGCTTAACCTCCCGAACAGTGAGCTAGCATCATAAGTTGTCCAAGTCTAACCTAAATTAATTCACAACATTGTGCAACCCTCATCCATTGGGTGGGATGGGTAACTGTTTCATACCTGACATGGATTGAACTCGATTGGTCATAGTTTCTTAATAGAACTCCAGATGCTACATATTGAGGCTAGTCACTAGTGAATATATATTGTTAGTAAAACGGAGTTGTGGAGATCGTAATATTTTCACAATTAAAATCACGAATCGATCTTTTCTAAACCACGATTAGAAACATGGAAGTACTTGTAGGCCATGTCGCCCTAGTATGTGACTCCTCGGTAGTATTCCTATATTGGATGGATATTCGTATTAAGAAAGCAATTATGTATCTGATTTTTACTCCGGCCACCATACTTTTTTAGATGCAACTAAAAGCTTGAGTAAAATATATTATCTAATCTAAGCTGTAATTACTACTCTAAGTGACTTGAATTTAGACTGTTAAAACGCAGACAAGTGATACACTGTTAACTTCTGAAGCAATAAGTTTTCTGTTGAGGAGAATATGAAAATTCTTCAAAAAAACGCCAAAAAAAGGCTCTGAAAACGCTGAGAAACACCTTATCCAATCAGCATTCAATAGAGGTTTTGCCAGAAACATCTAGAAAGTGAAAAGTCACATATCACATTTCTGACTAAATAATTACCTATACTGTTACTATGTTTAGTACCGTTCCAGAATTTTCGGAAGCTGAAGGTCACCCAAAATACCATAAATACCCTAGATTTTCTATACATAAATGAAGCTTTGGATTGAAGCGTTCCTTCCATATTTCACACCTTTTCTCTTATGTTCGATTCTCTGTGTAGATTTATCCTGAGGATTGATAGAAAAGTTTAGGAATTGAATCTAACGTTCAATTAGAACACTTAACATTTTTATGATTTTGAAAAGTCATCATCAATTTAATTATTTTAATATGTTCACAAGATAAACAGACTAGATTAGCAAAATTGATGATAAACATTTTACTAAAATAATAATTTAAAAACTCTTATGTCATACATTAATAAACTTCAGTTTTATTTTACATCTTTTCATGAATTACGTAATGATTCTGGTCAATATAGGTTTTATTATAAAAATTTATCATTATCATGGAATATAGTTTAGTATTCATGGAAAAAGAACAAAAAGAAGAAGAAGAAGAAGAAGAAGAAGAAGAAGAAGAAGAAAAGGAAGGAAAATACCTTCAGGATCTATAAAAATGAAATGTCCTAACAACATAATAAATTCTATGAAGATATAATTACATAATATCGATCGTTTCCTATATTGTAATTCATCAGAACATCCAAAAACAATAAAAAGGGAACCGAGAAAAAGAAAAGGAACAATCAATGATTGATTAGTTTAATTTGAATTTTTTTTGTTTTTAAAGGATATTCAAATTCTGTACAAAAAGTGGATCAGGATATGCTTTGAAAAAATAACAAACAATGAAACGTTTTCGAAACAATACCATTAAGTTTAGATTACTTGATAGTTTTGATCTTAGAAAGAATAGGATCACAATTACTTTGAAACATACATTAGAAATCTTAAATCATCTTTACATTGGATCATTGAATCAACAATCTGTTACTAGTAAGTTTTAATGATTGTTTACAATATTGAACATAATAAATGAAAAACAAATGGAATCTATAACTTATTATTTTGTTTAATTATTCTTTGTTGGTATATTACAAGATTTGATATTGTAAATGAATAAAAGATTTAAATGAGTTTTGATTCTGTATTGATTATATTCAATTAACTTGTTCTCAGTTGTTTTGTTGTTCTTTTTTCGTTAGAAAATTTAACTCTTTTATTTATAGTTATTAATCACATTTGAAAGATCATGTATGTACTTTGGTATCACTAAGGGATGTTTCGTTTTTTTTTCTTCTGTGGGATAATTAAAGTGTATTTATTATTGGATGGATTGATTGTTTTGTCCATTTTTTAGATATCTGTAAGGTAGTAACAAGAAATAAAGGCTAAATAATTTAAGTATTATTTACCAATAAGATAGTGATTGAAAGTAGTCAACAGGGATTATTGGACCTCAGTTTTGTGCTATTTGACACTCGTCAGCAAGATGTACCTTTAATCTTAAGAGAACTGATGCTCCTTAGTGGGTTCTATGCCGTGTCACCCAGCTTCAATGTCGAAGACGTTACCACTTAGTTATCTGGGCCACAACTGACCTCATGTAGGACTGAGATGTATATACAATTGATTGATCACTAAGTATGTCAGGTCCTTCTTCGTTCAGATCGAATCCTATTAATCAAGCTGCAATGTGGCCACCAGTCTAGGTGAATCGATATTGCGTGCACTATGTTGAGATAAGATGGTGGTTAGAGGTAGTCAACAAGAAACCATAGATTTAGGTTTTGTGATTAGGTCTTATCTCAGCATAGTGCACACAATGTAGTGTTACCTAGACTGGTGGGGCTACATTGCAACTTGGTTGATAGGATTCGATCTGCACTGAGAAGAATATGACATACATGACATTGATCACCACCCAGTGAATATTGTTATTATTATTACCATTTACAAAATTAGAAAAAACCAAAAAATTCACATTTTACACAAAATTATCTGTTTTTGATTATAACTTCACAAAATAGGCAAATACATTTTGATAATTTAGTATGTTTGATACATATAGTTGTTAGGATTAATCTAATTTAAAGTAATAAATGGACATTGATAACAAGACACAGACCTGATCAGTTTTTTCCAGTTGATATTAATCTATGATGAAGATTACATAACTTTTACAAGTATTTTTCCCTGTTTTAGAACTCATTAGTTCCATGTTATGTAGACTATATTTTCATGATATGAATGAACACAATATGAGTTTTACAATCGTCACAGAGATTAAATCAGAGGTACTTGATAATTCATTTGTTATAAAAATGTCAACTTTAAAATATAGACTTCAGTTCGATTGTTTAATAGTCTATTAATTACTTACTTACGCCTGTTACTCCCAATAGAGTATAGGCCGCCGATCAACATTCTCCAATCCACTCTGTCCTGTGTCTTCCTTTCTAGTTCTATCCAATTTTTATTCGTTCCTCTCATGTCTATCTCCACTTCTCGTTGCAATGTATTCTTTGATCTTCCTCTCCTCTTTTGACCTTGAGGATTCCATGTGAGGACTTGCCTTGTGACACTGTTGGGTGCTTTCCTCAATGTGTGTCCTATCCACTTCCAGCGCTTCTTCCCGAGTTCTTGCTCCTGTGGGATCTGGTTTGTTCTCTCCCACAGTAGGTTGTTGCTGATAATGTCTGGCCAACGGATCTGAAGTATTTTGCGTAAACAACTGTTATTAAACACTTGTATCTTTTGAATGATGGCTTTCGTAGTTCTCCAAATTTCCACCCCATACAGTAGAACTGTTTTGACATTTGTATTGACAATTCTGACCTTGGTGTTGGTTGACAGTTGTTTCGAGTTCTAGATGTTCTTCGATTGTTAAAATGCTGCTCTTGCTTTACCGATCCGCGTCTTCACATCTGCATTAGATCCACCGTGTTCATCAATGATGTTGCCCTGATAAGTAAAAGTTTTTACGTCCTCCTAAGCTTATTCGTCAAGCGTGATTTGATTGGTGCATGCTGTGTTGTATTGAAGAATCTTGCTTTTCTCTTGTGTATGTTGAGATCTACTGCTTCTGAGGCTGCTACTACACTGGTCATCTTCTCCTGCGTTTGGGATATAAGGGCCAGATCATCTGTGAAGTCTAGATCGTCCAACTGCATTCCAGCTGTTCATTGTATCCTATGTTTTCCCTCAGATGTTGATTTAATAGTCTATAAAGTTATATGAATCATAAACTATTAGAAAATCATTTTGTAATAAAGGTAAACAGTGACTTACTCTCTTTTAATTATCAGTCATTAGTTATTATGCATACAAATACTTTTATGACTGAACATTCTTAGGAAATTGTTTCAATAATGTACATAAAATAAAGACTTATTGTATTTCTGAAAGTTCGATTAAAATTTCGACAATACAATAATGACAATATAGTGAGTAGTATTTATTAACCTAAATGAAATTTATTTATTCCAATTATAGTCGTATAGTTTCAAAGATAGTTGATATGCATAAAACAATCCATAGGATTAACACTAATTTGTATCATTAATATAACTTAATTATTTTCTTTTGAATGGTATCAATCTGTTTTGAATGTATTACTGGTTATCAAGACATCTTTGCACATACATACATATATACATAGCCCGATAGATCAGATTAAACAACAACAACAATAATGTCATGAAAGACATTGAGGATTCGATATCATTTTTGTAGTTTCTTGTTTCTGATTACATTTTTGTAATGAATCAATATAATGATCATTTTCTATAATTTCTGATCCAATTTTTGTCTTATCCATTATTTCTGTATTCAATAATGATGAAATAGTAAATTTATTTAAATTTGAATTAGATTTTGTATTTAATTTAAAATCTGTTGAATGAATAATTTGTTGATTGATTTCATGATTATGATCATATTGAAATTGATCTATTGAACATTTTGATGAAATGAATTTTTCTATTGGTTTAGTGATAATTAATTGATTTGAATCATTGATTGATTGAATATTCCAAGTAGGTTCAGGTAAATTTGAATTTATGATTTTTGATGAATTTTCAATAGATTCAATCCAAGAGGCTATCATGAATGAAGATAGTTCAGCGATAGTTGGATTCTATTGATAAAATATATTCAATGAATAGGTCATAGTTAGTTAATAGTTCCATATACTGGTTAATAGAAAGTTCACTTAAAGTTGTTTAAAATAACGTCAATTAAAATACAAGTAATTGAGAAATGGTCAACAGTTCCCTACCCTGAGAAAAAACTATAGCTATTTAATAGAAACTGATTTTGTAAGTTCCACTTGTAAAATTAGTATTATTTTCTTTTACAAAATATCTTCGATCACCGAATGCAAGGTTTCCAAATAATACAGTATTGTTCAGTGTTTGGTTAGTATTGATTAGAATTACAAATGAGAGATCTATTTTTCTACCAGTGATATTATATTTGACATTCAGTCTATAAACTGACTTTTCGGTTACGTTAAACAATTTAATTTAGTATGTCCATTATAGAGTTTAAGAATAAGTAACCAATGCATCTCATAGGAAAAACAGGATGTTTAAGGTTATCGAATTATAAATAGTTTATACAAAAGAATGGAAGGTATCATTTTTCGAATAATATCCCTTTATTACAAATCCTGAGGTATAATTCATTATTATTCATTTGTATTATTTATATATATTTACTTCTAGTCACTATTTTGTATACTGATTGCAGCTTTTCTCGAAAACTATCCTTGAAACATAGTGACTGACATTAATCCATGTTGAAGAAATCCTTATATCACAATGGGTTTTGTGGAGATTTTGGAAATTCCACTGATTGAAATTATGAGTCAAATGAAGCTAGATCACCATGGAAAACCTGGAAGCACTGGACGACCGTTTCATCCTAGTATGGGACTCATCAGCAGTGCGCATCCACGATCCCGCACCCCGCGAGATTCGAACCCATGACCTATCCTTATATAGACATATTGTTCAAGTTATTGCAAAATTCACCTAATTATATATTAAAAAACATAGCTTACCATTTGTATAATTCACAAAAACAGCCCTGCAAAAAAGATATCCGATGAAGGATTTATTTCTATTTAGCAACTCTGTATTCATAAGCTACTTTTTTGTATTCCATTATATCATGTTAGCCTTTCACAATAACTTCTTATTGTTTGCCTTACTTTAACTTTCAGAGATGGCACTTTTTGATCACTAACAAATGGTAATGTACGTAATATTAGTTTACCAATGTGGATATAAATAAAAATACATAGTATCCTTTAAATAAACTTACTGGATCATTTGACGAATGTGATGATGATGATGATCTTAAGCGTTTTAAACTTTCATTAACATTTAATAGATTAGACTGGTTTACCGGAGATATTTCCTTACTTGTATTATTATTCTTATTATTATTGTTTAATAGATAATTCTTGTCATTTAATTTTTCATTGACTATTCTTTCTGAAGATTCATCTGACATTATTTTGTTATATTCATTCACTCCAATGTGTTCTGCAATATCAAATCGAATATTTTGATTTCCTTGATTTATTGAATCCACGAAATTATTATGCAATATGTCATCGTTTACAGGAGTACAATTGAATTCATTGCCTAATCTAGGCATCATAAATTTATTTGAACTATCCATTGTATAACATGATGTTGGTAATTTTGTAGGTGGTGAAGATGATGATGATAATAATGATTGTGAAAATAGATTATAATTTAAGGCAATAAAAGGCTTTATAAATTGTTTCAATTTTTCTATATCATAATTAGATGGTAAAACAGATGAAGCATTTGAAAGAGATGGTAAAGAACAATTAGTTGATAGATGAGATATTGTTGAAATTGATGATGTAACATTGGAGACAAATGTTTTTTTATCAGATTTTGTTTTTAATTGATCTCCCAAATTGGAAATATCTAATGAATCAGTATAATTCTTCCATCCAATAAATGATAATCTTTCAAGAGGATTTGTACTGACAGATAAATTATAATGATCATTTAAGTTTTCTGTAGAATTAGGTGAAGAACAATGTGAATTGTTTTTTTGTAATTTTTTTGGTAAACGTTTATTTTTTTTGTTAGTAGTATTTTCTGCCAATTCAGTAGTTGTATACAACATTTTATCTTTTTTATTAAACAATCTTTTATTTCTTTTGTATGGTATATGATCAGAAAATGGTAAATTAATTGATGAGGAATAACTTTTAATAATCGGATTCGGTACTTGATTTATTTCAGAAGTAGGATGAGTTAACCAACTATTTGTATGGTGTATTAAATCATTGACTATTTCATTTGAATCATTACCAGAGTTAATTGTATTACTATCAGTTGTAGATTTATATTTAGGTTTTGATTTACTAGATAGTTTATTTGATAAAATATCAGATGTATTTGTCATTGTTTCATTATGTATATTATGTTGTTTTAATAGTTTATCAAATAAGATTTGTCTTTCTATATGAGACATTCCTTGTAATTCACCATGTCGTCGAACATTATGACGTTTAATTGTATCTAATTTTCTTTGTGTCATAATTTTGTGACATACAAGGCACATAACCTTAAAAATAAAGTTTTAATAGTTTTAAGTTGTCATATATAACTGAAATTTAAACAAATAATTTTGGCTCTAAATATGTAAAAAAAAAAGCTAAATAATACCAATTGAATTTAAATTCACCCCCTTTCACAAGCAAGCGGCTATCAGGACTTAGTAGCCGAGTGGATAACGCAATGGCATTTGAAGCGAATGGTACTGGGTTCGAGTCCCAGAGTGAACATCAACTCTGAGATGCAAGTACATCCAGCTGACGAGTCCCAAATAGGACGAAACGCGCGTCGTGGATTCCACTGCAAGCCACTATCCATTGACGCTTACAAAAAAATATTAGATGTTAAATTATATTTAAAATAATTTCATCAATTTGAATTTGAATAATCCATTTCAACATTTAAGCTGGTAATCTGGTTCAAGCTTTGTCAGGAGAGTAATTAAAATTAACGAGAATAAATCAAACCGAAATTATTGCTGTATTAAACGCTTTTCTGATCTCGTTCAAATGTTTATTTACGATAAGGGTATGAGGTATTTGATCTAAATTGTGTTCAAAATGTGCCATGTAAAGGAGTACGTGTGTGTGTGTGCTATCGCTATTCAAATCCAGTGGTTAAATAATAACTTTTAACTACGGATGGACTTATATTCGAAATTCTGTATTTGCCATATAGGCAAAACCGCATTTTCTTAAATTGAGCTTGTCAAACATATACTGACAGTTTAATAGTTGAATCCGTGAGTCATTTGAAGCTAGACCATCATGGAAAACTCGCAATCACTGGATGGCCGTTTCGTCCCATTGCGGGACTCCTCATCAGTTCACATCCACGATCCTGCCTCGAGAGATTCGAACCCAGGACTTATCAGTTTCGCGCTAGACTATTAGAGCATTGGGCCGGCATCCAATGGTGATAAGACTTATTATTCAAATACAAGATTATATCTAATATAAGTTATCAAATCCATTAAAAATATTTAATCACTACTCATACAATCGAATTATACTACCTTAGTTATCTTAACTTGTATGAAGTCCTTAATAATTGAGTTCACATTTCTAATGGATACAGTTTTAATATTAGTTCATTATTCTTTCTTCTTTAAATTCACTTGTTTGGTTCAATTAAAAATTAGTTCGACCAAGAAAATAAACCTTCATAAATTACTACTTAATAGTACATATATAATGTATTCATTATCCTCAATTACTTATCATATATTTCTATTTATAAGCATGTCCATCATATAAATTGTACCATACTTGTTACTAACATATATTTTAAGAAACAATTTGTATATATATATTCAATATAAAGTACATTTATATGAATCATATAGGTTATTTTATAATGGTAGTTACAATTTTGAGAGATTAAATTTAGTTTTATTGTTGACAAGTGTTTTTGTGCTTGTGTGTGTGTGTATGAGAGACAGAGTGTGTGTGAATGTGTGTGCATTATGATAGATCACCATACTCATAAAAGTGTAATATAAAGAATATTGTCAATCATAAATAATAAATAATTCGTTTAAGGAAGAAAAACAGAATAATAAAATTGTAATTGATACATAATATAAATGACAGTTTAATCAAAATGAATTGAGACTAAGACAAATGTGAGCTGTAGTATATAAACAGTATACCATATTTTTTATAGCTAATATTGACATGTATGATTGTACACAGGAGATGTTTAATGATATATTATACATACTATTACTGCTACTATACTACTACTGCTACATTCTTTTGAGTATTCATTCATCTGTCTAGTTAATTAAGTTAGTTTTCTTTTCACTTTGTCTCATTTTTTTTGTTTCAAAAATATATTTGCATACATTTTAAAAATTACTACTGTCTCATTGTTGAACTGTACCATAATATATATACGTATCCTTTGGTTTCTATCTTGTTGATAAATACATGTAATAATATTGATTCATTACTCTGTTGAAAAGTCACTAAGTTGTCACATTTTGTTTTGTTTTCATCTTTTAAAGATGTATGCAGTTAGTTACAAACTTGAAATATTTCGGGAGAACGTATGTACACGGTATGTTCAGATTGTCCAAATCATTGTCAATTACAGCATAATATGGATCCTTCAACCATTCAGTGATATTTAATAAAATATATATTACAAACTAATTCTTATCTTCAAATATCTAATCATCTAACCATCTACATTAGAATGACAAAATTAACAGTAAAAATGACTGAAATATCATTTATATGATGCTATAGACTTCTTTAATTGAAGTCTCCTATTGATTAAATGGAATAAATTTAATCAACAGGAGTATTGAATTCTTTAATAGAAACTGCTTATCAGTATGGGGGTTGTGGAGATTGTTAAGTTTTTTGGTTGAGATCATGAATCAATTGATGTTAGACCACCGTTGGAAACCTGGAAGCACTGGACGGCCGTTTCGTCCTAGTATGGGACTCCTCAGCAGTGTGCATCCACGATCCCGCGAGCGGGATTCGAACCCAGGACCTACTGGCTTCGCGCCTGAGCAATTAACCATTAGGCCACTGAGCCGGCATCCAATGGTGTTAGTGTCTAACATCAACCAATCCACGAAATTGCGCGACCAACTTCCATTGTACTGAGGTAGATACCTGTCTCTACCCGACACGGATTAGCTCCACTGGTCACGACTTCTCACTAGAACTCCGAGAATTCCCTCACGAAGCTAGTCACTAGTGAGCACATGTTAATTATCAGTATGGAGGTTGTGGAGATTGTTAAGTTTTTTGGTTGATCTATTTTATTTATGAATATTTCACTAAATTGATCGAATACTTTCAGGATTTTTGAAGCCAGAATAAGGATTTCACTGGTATGTCTAAATGTATAAGATAGAATCGATCATATTGCTCTAAGAATGCCATGCCCTAAATTTTATGAAATACTGATACATTTGTAGTTAGCTTTAAGGGTTTGCAAAATAAGTTATCTTAATTCTTTATAAATTAAAACTTAATGTGGATAACTGACCTCATAACGTCCATATGGTATAACAAGCCATAAATGTTTCCATTCTTCACGAAATCTTCGTCGACGATCTTTCTCACGCCAAGTTAAATATTTATAAGCTCCTGTGGAGATTGTATTCATTTTTGTATCATTATTATCATTATCATTACTAACATTGATTTCATTGTGATTATCATTAAATAGAATATTTTGGTCATTTGACTGGACAGTTTTACTTAATTTTATGGTATCCATGGAATTTTTATCATACCCTTTAAAATCTGTATTATTATTATTATTATTATGCGTTTTCCATTCGATTGTAGAAACAATAGTCCTATTTAAAGCTGATGTATCTTTAACTAAATTATCGGCATATAATTGTTTAGTCGTTGAAAAATGACTAGTGCTATTATTTTGGTTACTGTGATCAATCATGAAACTATTTTGATCGGTATCATTATTATAATCTACTCTCATATACTTCTTAGAATGTTTAGCAGATGAATTTGAAAGATTTTTGGAATATCTACGTTTCAATGTAAGTTTTTCATTCATTTTAGGACTTTTGATCTCATTTTTTATTGAATTCGAAGTGTATTCAATTGAACAAGTAGATGGTGATGTGTTGTATATGTTATTAGTTTCATTTGAATATTGAATCAAATTATGATTAGAATTAGAATCAGTTAAAAAAGATGATTTGTTTATTGGTGATACTGATTTTTCTTTCTTATTGATTAAAGAATTAATAGAATAGTCTAATGGATTCCCAGTATTCATAGTTGGTAAAGTTTCTTTGTCATAGTTTATACATTTAATAGAATGAAATCTATTTGATTCTGTTAGTGAATTCAATTCATTTGTATATAAATTGGATTTTGTAGATGTGATGTCATGGCTATTGATATTACTATTCCAGTTAATAGATGGATAAGAATTTGATAATTTAATGAATTCGTAATTACTGAACAATGAACAATTGTCACTAGTTATTCTGGTTAATTTTTCAGTTTCATTAGATAATGAGGTTGATAAATTATAAGTTTCATTATTAAACGACATTGTAAATGTACGAAATATGATGAATTATTATTTCATAATGATTTGAATTGTTTCTTATTCAAATAATGCTTCTAGAAATGGATGAACAGAAAGAGAAAAAACAACACAAAATACACATTGTGATACATTGATTAATAAACGATGAATAAAACTATGGTATATAGATGAATAAACCTAGCTCAATGATTAGAATGATAAATAGTATATCACTTCGTTGTATTGTTTAATATATTGGTGACAGAAAACACATATCGATTACACTGATTTCAATACCGATAGTCGTTAGTAGTGAAGGACCAGTTGCTATAATTCATTAAAATGTTATTTTCTGTTCAGTCAATTTGACATTTTGAAAAGTAGCATTAATCAGTAGGTAGTCAACTTTATTAGTGAGTAAATATTTAGTAAAACTTTAAGATGTCTAACAAAAATTGCATGAGGGATTTACAGAAGACAGTGGTTTTTGGTTGATAAACAACATTTTAAATTACAACAATTGATCCGTAATTTACGGCAGTAGTTTTCAGAACAAGTTAACCGAATGTTATTACTAACATTAGGTTTTAAGTAGTATGACCTATAACTATTATAGCAGGTGTAGTTAATTCATAAGTCCTATTCGATTTGAATAATTCCTACTGATTTCTTCCAAACATTCATTTAATAGGATGATCTTTTTTCAAGGTTTATAATTCCCTAATGTTTGGAATTGAACTTATATTGGATTACGGATGATTAGCAGATCATATTGCTGCAATGTTAATGAATAGTTTAGTAATTGTTGAGGCTAATTTCCTCTATATCTGACTCCAATAAACGATATCCCATTAACTGAGTATTTAATTTAAGGTAGGCTAAATCTCCTAGTAGAATTATGGATTTACTCCAGATTATTCAGAAGCCTGAACACTAGTTGTAGAGATATTTTATTGTTAAAGATAAATAAAATCCGCAAGCATACACCGAGCAAGCACACTGTGAAACAAAGAGTGTGTGTGTGAGTTAAAAATCCATATATATTTTTGAGTGTCAACCGAATGTGGATAAATTATTGATTATCTGTATGTTGCAACCAATAGGAGAATAGATTAAGAATTGATGTGCAGACATGTGCTCAATCGTACAAACAGAAATTAACATAGTGAATTAAGTGTTTGAATTACAGTGAGTAGACAAATAATACAACAGTTGAATGGGCTTGCTACATAATATTGTACGTTTAACAAATGAAAATTCCCATTTCACCTACTGGTTTTGTTATGATTTTCTTCAAGACTACAAAATTTGAGCTAAATATTACTTAAACTACTTTCATTGATACCATACAGTGTATTAGTATCTCTTTAAATAAATAAAAAAGATTTATGTCATTTTGAATTGTGCCTGAGAGTGAAAAAGACGGATCAAAGACATTTGTCACACTACTACTTGATCAATATATAATCATGAAAGGCTCACAGGTAATATGATAAGCATAATCTGAAAAGTTTATTTCTTCTTATTTATTTTGACATGATGATAATTCCATAAAATAAAATGAAGTTATGCTTTGAACTGTTATGAATCATATTTCTAGAATAATAGTTAGATTCTAACACATTAATACTCATAAATGTTGTGTTGTGCTTTAGGTGATAACATTTCTAAAAACGACTGATATCTTCCTATATCATTATGAATGACTATCTTGAAGTAGGGCTTAATTAGTGAGAAAGATTTTTTGATTATTATTATTATTGACTTCACAACTGAGGTTTGTGGTATTTTTCATCTCTATATTTGACTGTTTAATTGATAACTCTAAGTATGTCTTGTAACTAATACGTTGATAAAGTCAGTTTAATTTTAAAATCCCTGTCTAAATGAATTGTCTCCATCCAACAAGTTACTGGTTACTGATGACAAATCGTACCCCGTTTAATTTTTCTTTTTTTTTGAAAATCTGATTGACAACTAATGTATATGAAACATGGAAAATTTATTCAAATATAGTTTTAATAAAGTTTCGGATTCATATAAATCTTTGTTTATAATAAGTATTTTCTTTCTTTTCTTGTATCTAGGCACATTAATTTGACAGAGTCATTAGGAATATAGTCAAACTAGTATTGTTCTATCATAACACTAATCCAAACTTTAAAATTATGTTGTGAAATCAAAAGGAAATGGATAACATTGATTTGATAGAGAATTTTCTTCATACAACAAAAGGTCTGTATAGTCACTTTCGAGTTATTATGATTGATATATTTAATTATTGAAAATAATATTGAGTAATTTATAAGTTGTCAATCTAACAAATAGATTCCTTCATTTTTAAACTTACAAACTACAGAAAATATTGACTGAATTACCTAAAATAATAATTCAATATAAATTAGATATTTCATACTGGGCATTATGTAATTGAGCGTGTCGACCGCCTCACATATCTTGGGAGTCTGGTGTGTGACGAAATATCAGCACGAATAGAGAAGGCTCGACTAGCTTTTGCCAACTTGCGTCATTTATGGCGTAGGCGGGATATCCGTCTATCAACCAAAGGACGTGTTTACTGCGCAGCAGTTCGTTCCGTCCTACTTTATGGCTAGACCACCATTGAAAACCTGGAAGCACTGGACGGCCGTTTCGTCCTAGTATGGGACTCCTCAGCAGTGCGCATCCACGACCCTGCACCACCCGGGGCTCGAACTAAGGACCTACTGCCTTCGCGCGCGAGCACTTAACCATTAGACCACTGAGCCGGCATCCAACGGTGTTAATGTCTAACTTCAACCAATCCACGAAGTTGCGCTACCGTACACCGTTGTCTTCAGTGAGTTCCTATCTCACAACAGACCTGGTTGAACTCCACTGGTAACGACTTCTCACTAGAACTTCAGAAGTGTCTCCTGAAGTCAGTCACTAGCGAGCAGGTGATTATTATTATTATCAGAATGTGTTTTGTGGAGATTTTTAGAAATGTCCACAGATTGAAGTTAGACATTAACACCGTTGGATGCCGGCTCAGTGATCTAGTGGTTAAGTGTTCGCGCGCGAAGCCAGTAGGTCCTTAGTTCGAGCCCCGGGTGGTGCAGGGTCGTGGATGCGCACTGCTGAGGAGTCCCATACTAGGACGAAACGGCCGTCCAGTGCTTCCAGGTTTTCAATGGTGGTCTAGCTTCAACTGACTCATGATTTCAATCTGTGAAAATATACATTTACCAAATATATCGAATCATAAAATACTTGAATACATATGAGGATAGTTATATACAAAGGTGAAAAAGGGTATGTAATACTTTAGAGATTTTGTGCACTTTATTAAATGTAATGTAAGTGTTAAAAGAGGCTTGATAAAGTAAAGAGAAGCCAAAGAAAACACTTTGTTGTTTTAATACTAAATCATGAAGATGTAATTCAGTTGCAAGTAAATATTTTATTAAAGATGGTTACTGCCACAATCTGATATCATATGTGGAAACACTGGACACCAGATATTTGTATCCTTTTAATATCGAAACTCTCTCAATAGTATACATTCAGGATACCATTAAGGTTTTGAACTTCGGAATATACATGGTGAAAATGATATAATGTAACGAATCACATGACATTCTTCAGTCGATTAATGATAAAAAGTGATAATTATTTTATTTATTCAGTGACAACGGTTTCTATCTTAATATGAATGAACTTCATTAACCATGGCTTGTAAAAATTTCAATAGCCCATCTTATTTATTAATTATGAGTAAACATATATAGTCAGTTGTTTAAAACTAATGTAACTACTTCTCAACAGAACAGAAAGTTGATGTCAGTTCATAATGAATACCATCCTTAATTTAAGTCAATCATAACAGACTATTCTATTGAATATTTTTTCTACTTCCGTTTAGTTTACTTTCACTCTGTGTAATTATCAAAGGGGAAACTGACCTATTTTATTTACTAACATGTACATATACACTTACTAAGTAATTTATGTTATTATCATTCAGAAGTATATTTTAACAACTATAAATATTGGTCCATAACAAAATAGATTTGCTATTATGATTTGTACAACTATTAAGTATGATATTTCACATAAGAATACTATGGAAACTAATTTTTGGATAGTGACAATAAGACAATTGAATAAATAAATCTTTTTTGAGATTATGAATTGATAATTATTAAGCTGACATTGAAAATCTGGAAGCGTTGGACGGTCATTACAAGATTTAATGCTTCAATTACAAAATAGATATCATTGTAAAATATTTAGGAATAATTTTCTATATTGTGAAAACTGTTTTCTCATTACATATAGATGTTAAATCATATCCCTATAGAGAGTTAATATTATTCTTTTCTGTGTTGATTTCAATGTAATGGTGTCTCAATCCACTAAAAAATGTATGAATCACTAAAATACATTCATTTCAGTTTTAGAGTATTTTGTATTACAATAGGCTTTAAGTTAATAAATATAACTAGTTAGGTAAAACTATTTCAAAAATATCAAGAACTATGGCGGTATTTAGTAACGAACAGATCTAGGCAGATCATCCAAGCAACCTCTGATTATTCAAGATGATTGATGCTTTACTCTGAATTTAGGTAAATCATTCAAAAAACCACCGATCCCCTATTCTACTTTCAATAGAATTCTTTACTTTTTCTTAACCCTTATCTTCATATTCAGAATGAATCATTTAATCGAATATTTCTAGATTTTGACTAACATCTTCGTTATAATTACCATTAGTTTTGCTTACGAAGTAACGAATACAATCTAGCATTGTAAAGTAACCGAAAATTTCGGTGTAAATACCTTACAACCATCTTCGAACTGATGATTTATTGAGTTTTATTTTAAAGAAGAAAAAAACAGTATAGTGTATTAGGAAGAATAAATTTAACTTTTATTTAGAATAGATCAAATAGGTCTTGTCACCTGTTGAAGCTAATTTGAATATTACCAGTATTCAAACACAGTTAATAGTTTTTTTTTCTGATTAACCTGGTTCCAATCCACCAGTATCTAAAATAACCACAATCTAGCTAACTAGTAGTAATCGGCTAGGATATGTGTCAATTGTTTATTGTTTTCCTTAGTACTCATCTCTTCATTATTATATTCATTTTTCTTCAGTAATTGTTTACTATTTGACGGTTTATTTACATAACCATAATAGGTGAGAATCAGATCTAATGTATATACTTCTTCATTTATGTCACATTGTTAGGACAAAAGTTTGTAAATAGAAATGTTGTGATAAAACATCTTATGAAGGTGTTTACCTTTATCCTTGTCATTTTTTGACTGATCAAAAACAATCAGTTATCAGTATTTAAATAAATAAAGGATACACTATGAGAATGACCTCATTACAACATTTTGACGGTATAATGACAGTGATACTAATATTAATATTAAATCAATAATGTTTACCTACATGTTGTTGTATTGTTTATGTAGGGGGTTTTGTTTTCTACAGTATATATTTTTATGAACACAAAAGAAAATTTCTAAATGTTGGCAGATCACAACAAATAAAAAGCAAGATAAAACATAAGGGTAGAAAGGACTGCTTATCAAAACTCACACACACGCACAAACAGAGAGAAAGAGAGAGTCAGAAATACTTGTTTATAGGGTATATCTTGATTCTTCTTAACTGATCAATGTGATATAAGGTGTGAAAGTGTGAAAATCATTCTTGACTTTTTATTTTACCATAAACAATAACAACAATCAATGGGGAAAAAACGACAATAAATTGTTCTTATCAAGTATAAGGGATATGTATATGTTTAGATATGTACCTGTCATATAACTTCCTTTTATTGTCATGTTTATTGAATGAAAACACTTCATCTACTATATAAAATCGCTTGTGTAGTTTCATATTAGTAATGTTTCTTTTCTTAGTTTAACACAATGTTTTTGATATATACATTATTTTATTGTGCCGAAATTTCCGCCTCATTTAATGATTGAAATTAAAATAAAAGCTAACAAGTCATTTAATCATTATAAATGTTAAACAAGTTGTCAGTTTATTTTCACATTTGACCTATTTTATTGTATTGTTAACAAACACTACATTTTGAAATCATATATGTTCTATTATTCCTTGAAGTCATTAACTTCTAGTCTTAGCCATGTTGGTAGATGCAGACTACTTGGTTGGGGTCCGCGTGACTATCGTAACCAATGATTGGAGACTCTGGGTGACATGGCTCAGAATCAATCACAATGGCATCGGTGTATGCACTATCTATCTTCCCTTAAACTATGAGAGTAAATTTAATTTATACCTTTCTTTTTACCAGCTAAATTTTTCTTCCTGTACTATATCCTTATATGTAATCTTTCTTTTATATATTACCACCACTGAGTTAATTACTTCTGTGAATTCGATGTTCATCTTGTTGTGTTAATGAGGTATGGCAACTTGCACCGACGATTATAAGTGCCTGGTCCTATGTTGTAGCTGACTGACTGACTATTATTCCTGTTTAAAAAGTCGATCTATATTCAATTTTCAGGTTGCTTTTCACTCAGAACTAAAATAATCCATTGGAAATCATGTAACATTAAGCAATAGTGTCACTCAAGTTTGAAACTCATTAACAATATTTAATCATTAGTTTAAAGGTGTCCTAGTCATTGTGAGACCTGAATAACCTGGATCTACTTTTATTTATCTCGTGGATATTCAATGTTTAAAAAAATCACACATTAAGACTGTACACCTATTCAGTACTACCTTGTTTTCAATGATTCTTTATTGAATTTAGAATTCATATCACATCAAAATTCAAATATTTTTAAATTATATCATTATTTTACATAGTCAACGTCAATATACAAGTCAATCAAGATACTTATGCATATCTCTAGGATATACATTCCTAACATGAATATTTCCATGACCATATTCTTCACAATATCATTGCTCATTTGTGACTAAGCCACGATTTCCTGTATATATATAATCATGATGAAATTAAGTTGGAATGGAAATATTGTAAAACGCTATGTGTTTCTAAGTATTTATTATCTAATCTATAAATCTGTTTTATTCAATACAATAACTTCAAACTTATAATAGTTTTGTTTGGATCTATTTTAGTATTTATGAATAAGTGTCACCAATAAGAACGTATTATGTTGTATATGGTAATCAGAATGTTTTGATACTACAATATTTATAACTCGTACTTATGAAATAAGTTATTAATTAGTCAGTAGAGAGTACTACATAGTTAAAATTATACAAGATATTACCATAAATCATTATAAGTAAAATTTGTTCTTTGATGCAGATGTACACATTCATCTACGGTCTTTGGTTTCTCTGTAATTGGTCTATTCTCATAAGTCTATGAGCATTTTTTCTAAATAGAAGAATTGTGTATTCAATTCAGAAAACAATGGACATTTAATCTTATATACAGATAGAATACGATAAATGAATATTTCTCGTTTCGGTAATCAATAGAATAAGAAAAGTCATATCCGTTTTATGTGATAGTAATAAAAAGAAATGATTCAGAATGTATTTTATTATGTAATAATGTAATTAAGCTGTAAGTATACACTTTATTTATTCTTAAAAACTAACGAGCAGTTTGACTCTCTAATAATAGTAAATAATAATAGTAAAACTGATTACTCAAATGAAAACCATGGTGTCAATCTTCTGAAATGTTTTATTTTAGGTTCAGCTTCTGAGTCTACTAAAAATAATTATGTATTAATTGTGTTTACATGGTACATTCCAATCATAGATACATGTACTGTTGTAAATTTGTGTTTTCCTACATTGACTACGAACCTATTTAAAGTTATTAATACAATCTAGATAACTGCAAAAGATTTGTAGGTGGTCGGTATGTCGTTTTCTTATTAGAAGGTTATCAACACCAGACGAAATTAATGTGTTCGTTCCAGTCTTCTTTAATGATGAAAAAAGGATAATAACAATAATTATGACAATTATTATTATTTTGTAGTTTACATAGCGGAATAATATTTGCTAGGCAACTATTGAAAATTAGGAGCCACAGAACATATATTTCATCCTAATATGAAACTAAACAAAGGTTCGTATTCATTTACCTTCAGTGGGAATTGAATCTAGAACCTTCACATCTCTCATCAAGCGTATAACCACTGGGCTGGCATTCACTGGTTGGATGATTGTCACTGAATATCGTGAATTGATCGAAAGTAGACGTTGTAATCAGTGAGTCCAAGTTCAGTGATCAGACCCGATCCCTGGGGAGGTAGTAAATGTACAAGCCAGATAATTTTCATACTAGGATGAAACAGTTATTCAGCGATTCCATGTTTTCATTGCTTGACCAACAAAGATCATTCTATTGTGACACGGATCATAAAATTCGACAATCTCTACAAACGCTTACATTAATACTTATTGTTATTACACCGAATCATGTAAATCAACCAACAATTTCATAATCGATTATTAATGTCAATTTTTTTCTTATTTTTTTCTCCTTTATCATTTCAGCACACCACATTCATATTTCACCTATGTAGGTTTATTTTGATATTTTGACACCTTATAATTGATATACCTTTATGTTTATATATTCTGTCTGTATAAGTTGATAGATGAATGTATTAAAATATTCGTCTTCATCAAAGAATTGAAAAACAAGCAAACAGAGAAGACAGAATCAATTGCGTGTGTCTATGTAGATTGGGTTGTTTAAAAAAATATGTCATTTGAAGAAAAGTATGATTTAAACTTGTTTTCTTAATTTTATATAAATACAAATTAATTTTCACTGGTTGAAATCACGAATCAGTTGAATCTAAACCACCATGGCAAACGTGGAACCACTGGATTGGTTGAAGTCAGACATTAACATCGTTGGATACCTGCTCGGTGGTCTAGTTGGTCAAGCGCCTGGTGCGAGACTGATAGGTCCTGGGTTCGAATCTCGCGGAGGGCGAGATCATGGATGCACACTGTTGAGGAGTCCCATAGTAGGACGAAACAGACGTCTATTGCTCCCATGTTTTCCATGGTGGTTTAGCTCCAATTAACTCATGATTTCAACCAGTGAAATTTCTCAAATCTCCACAAAACCCATTCTGACAAATTAATTTTTTTTCCGATTTGATACCTAATGGAAAGATACAAGTAAAACAACATAAAGTGAATTGGGTACCTGTTTTGTTTAAATGTAAACGTTCTGTTGTTGTATAAGTGAAATATCTTCTAAAATATTAAAAATATATTCACATATTGTGTTGCATAATATTTAACTGGGTTTGTTTATATAATTTAATATAATTTTGAATAAATGATAACTTTCTTTGATAAACGGAATACACCGATTAAGGCATTAAATAAGAAAGATTAGTTCAGCGAAGAGTTCTGTTTTAGGCGAATTCATTTTCAAAGCAGCACAATCACAAATATATATATACTTATTTTTACAGGATGATAATAATACTGATAATAAGCTTGTTATACATGGTGACAGTGACACCTGAATTGGTCAAATAAAATTTTTTGTTTACTTTATACAAATAACACAAAAACTGTTATTCATTTAATTGCTTATAATATAAACAACAGAATATACATATATATTGATGGAGTTTTGTTCTTTGAGCTGGATGGTTTGGTCAAAGAGCTTCCATAGTTCTTTTGAATCACATCAGCACAAACATCAGACTTCTACCTGACGTTTATGCTGATGATGTTGTTTAGAAGGACGATGAAAGCTCCACGACCAAAACATCCAGCTCAGAGAATGAAACTTCATCAAAATCATCCGCCTGAACTACCAATCTTCTCCACCATATCAATAAATATGTGGAAAATACATGAAAATATGGAATTAATAAATTTTGTATTGGTAATGACCTTCTTTAATAAAATTATTTTTCAGTCGGTTAAAATATCTATTGAGAAATGTTGTTTGCAAAGCAAAGATGGATAGCGATTAGTAGTGGAATCCACGAAGCATGTTTCATCATATTTGAGACTCGTCAACTGGTTGTACCTGCATTCTAGAGTAGATATTCAGTCTGGGACTCGAATCCAGTACCGTTCGCTTCAAACATCATCTCGTTATTCACTTAGCTACTGAGTCCTGATAGCCGCTTGCTTGTGCGATAGGGTGAAGTTTTAAATTCTCTTGATGTTGTTAACTTTTATCTTCACATTATTAGTTAGGACTGCTGTCTGTAAAATTCCTGCATTGTCTTCGATTTTAATAATTTAAATGGCTTATTTTAAAGTCGATCTTATAACCTTGAAATTGTCTTACTTAAATGGAGTATATGCGAAATAAGTAGATAGTCTGAAACAGCTTTATTAGCAACAAGTTTTATGTATACAGATAAGGTGTTAAAAATAATTTTAATCAAAGCATAAGTTGCCCAATCCACTACGAATCGACCAACCATAAAATGTATTTTGACTGAGATCGTGAATAGATCAACGTTAGATCCAACACATGAGATCCGAATCTAGGACCTCGTGTGGAATCGTAGATGTGTACTGCTGAGGACTCCCTAGGATCAAACAGTATTTCTAGGTTCTCAATAGTGGTTTAACATGGATCGATTCATGATCTCAATCAAAACTCAACAATCTTCACAAACGTATACTGACAATAAAAAATATATTATTGTTTGCTTTTACATAAGATGATATAATGAAAACAATTATCAGAATAGAAAATATTCAGCAATATAATAGTCATGAGAAATTCGAAAATAGAAAACTCAAATCATTTTCTGTTAACTTATATATATATATATATAGTAAACCTAGGTTCCCTGTATGTTCTTATTTTTAAAATAGTTGCATTTCAAAAGTCAGGTGAAGAACTGAGGAATGAACTGAACCAAATTATAGTTTCATCGGCTTTAATAATACCACTTATTCAAAATTTAGTCAGAAAATGTAATTTACGTGAATTTTCAATAATAGATAGATAGACTGAATGTTTAGTTGAAGTTTAGATAGAAATAAAATTTATAAATAAGCCACAATATTCTGGTCTACTTTCTAGTCCTGATTAGATCTCTAATGGATAATGAAGGATAAATATATTACAATTCATTATAATGTGGAACATTAAGAGAATAAAAATGTTCCTGAAATCGTACACCTGAACAATAATCCCTACCTTCTTTTTTCCATAAACCAATGTAAATATAAGTGAAGGGTTGCTTTTAAAGTCAGAGGATCAATCAAAGAGAATAGGAAACTGATTACTTTCGATCTACTTTATATATAACTAATTATTGGTTATATCGATCAAGAATGTTTCATGGTGTTAATATTATGCTCATATACAGTGCATTGAAGTGTTTTTAAACATAAACTTAGGGAGAAAATAGATATGTTAAAACTAGTTCAGAGCAACTGTTCAACTTAATCCATCTATCATTTTATAATCGACGCTTAATTGGCTGAATGGAAATTTAAATTGAACATCATTGTATTACTTAAGAAATAATTTATATGATACTCAAAGTATATAATTAAGAACATTACTATGATCACCGAAGATCTGTATCAAAACTGTTTGGACATTTAACTAATAGACTACTTATAAATGATATGTACATTTAATATATATCTTATTTTTCATTGATCCGACCCATTCGACATTTAACTGAAACAAATTAAGGTTCTTTCAAATATTCAAAGAACTGTTTGAATCAAAATGATTCAGATATATCTTGTTGGTGATTGAGAACTAATGAGAAATCTAGGCTAATTCTATCTACTTAACATTGAAATTTCACTTCACTTGTAGAACAGTTTTTTATAGCGAATGAAGTAGATAATAATTCAATATATATCATATTACTGATAACCTACTACTTATGAACCACCAATTTAAAAAGACATTAATTAAATACTGAAAATATTACTTACCAGAATAAAAGAATAAGCAGCTTTTCATAAATACGAAGTTCAAATTGTTGAAAAACACATTAACAGTATGTGATTGACTATGTTAATGTGTTGGATTGATCTGAAAATAACCAAAAAAAATCGAATTTCTTTTCTTCATCTTTAACAGACAAATTATGACGTCACTTCTATTTATTATTATTAATCTCCGTATATTTAATAGTTTTCTTGTCAAAATAAGATAGATGATTATTTTTCCATCATCATTGTTATTCATGAAAGGTGTGAGAATGTGCGGTATATTTCCTTTTTTCTATCCTCCAATTTAATTTAGTGAATATGGCAAGATTTTATTTCATAATGTATTGTGTTGTCGGCTGAGAATATCGTATTATTGCCTTTTTTTAATTGCTTTTACATATATTTATCAGCAGTATGTATGTGACCGAAGGGGGATTAATTTATTAATAAAAAGCCATTTCGAATATTCATTTATTTGTCCCCCCCTCCATTTGACTTTTATTATTTATCGGCCCACCCACATTAAATATTATTTTTTTCTGAAATTTTTACGCCTGTCATTCTGTCTTTCTCTCTCTCTCTCTCTCCCACACACTCACTTGGTTGGAATATTATAAGACATACACAGCTATGATTGTGTGTTTTTACTTAAGGTTGGCAGAAATTCAGACCAGTAGTAACATGCTTTCATATATAAAAATACAAAGTTTGATACGGAATGTAACCAGGTTGGTTAGAGTTTATTGACTTTCTAATCCCTACCACTATTATTATCATCATCATCTTATAACGACAATAAAAATTCTTTTCTCTATGATTCAAGTATAAAAGGGATAGGCAATTAATATTTTCAAAAGTATCTCATATTTTTTGTAATCAAAAAAGTGTGAAGTTACTTTAGTAATGTGGCAAAATGATACTTTATCATCAGAAGAATATTTAAGGGTTATAAAAGTGATTACTACAGAGATTAGCCTTTTAGATACACGTGATGAATTAAAAAGAAAACAACTTGAAATTCAATGGTAAAATTATGAAGACTCTGGATTTGATTTTTTTTGAAGACAAGTTGTTTATTTGTAATATTTCTTAAATGTAAAAAATACAAAGTAAATTGTTTGTTGTTGCCGGTCTGTCTAAAACAGTATCCATTTGTCTATAAACTGTACTCATATGTTTGTTTGTATATTTATTTTTTCGGATAGATATATATATAATTGGCTGGAACTATCTGCCAATCAAATCATTGTGTATTGTATACATGAAAATCACAAACTCAGAGTATTTAGCAATAGTGATGAAAAAGATATTCATGCGATACTTTTTAAATGATAGAACATAGCTGATCAAAAGTTATGCATCTGAATGATAATATCATTATTCAGTGATCTTGTACAAGTTTAAAACAAAGTTGTAGTTAAAAGTTGGAACAGAATAATCGGAAACAGTCTATTATATTAATAAAATTTTGTCAGAAGGGGTTTGTGGAGATTTTAAAAATTTCACAGATTAAAATCATGATTCAATTGAAGCTAGACCACCATGAAAAACCTGGAAGCACTGGATGGCAGTTTCGTCCTAGTATGGGACTCCTCAGTAGTGGGCATTCACGGTCCCACTCCTCGCGAGATTCAAACCCAGAACCTATTAATACGAATGTATTTATAAAACAATACAGTAATGTGCAAATGAAAACTAGAAATTAATCAATATTAATGAGATAAATTATATATGACAACAATGTAGAGATGAGTTTCCAAATGGCCTGGTACGGCCGAAAGTAGGAAGGGTAAACTCGCTCTCTCTCTCGAAATGCTCTCAAGTGACCACGTACATACAATCACTGCCAGGGAAGTCTTACTCACTGCCTTCTCGTGATAACCATTAGCTAACGATATGTAAAGATTAAGTATTCAGGCTCACTTCAATAAACCATGCGTTTTCGTAACTTATGAAACATGAGGAAAATGGTATGAGTTTTACTAAAACATGATCTATGGCGTTATTGATAGTCTGCTGCATAAAACGTTTTACACTCTAGATAGTATCTGTTGGAATATTAAAATTAATAACATGGAAAAGAAGTTATTTTATTGTTTTTTCTAAAAAGGTATTGTTTTCCAGAATTTGTGATGATTGTTTGTTGGTTAAGGAACCTATTGATATTTATGAAATTGTCTTCATATATGAAACTGAATTGAATGTTTCATTGGGTATTACATTTACTATTTACCAATCAACTATGTATGTTTTTTGTTCTATTTGGAATACTGGAGAAGAATGAACATGGAGAAAGGAAGTTATCATTGAATTTCAATTGTGTGTTTTGTATTTTCACTATTTACAAAGTCACAACACAGAGGATCTCATCTAAAGTATACAAATATATATTACTTACTTACTCGCACCTGTTACTCTCAATGGAACATAGGCCGCCAACCAACATTCTCCGATCCACTCTGTCCTGAATCTTCCTTTCTAGTTCTATCCAAATGTTGTTCAGTCTTTTCATGTCTATCTCCATTTTTCGGCGTAATGTGTTATTCGGTCTTCCTCTCCTCTTTTGGCATTGAGGATTTTAAGTAAAGGCTTGCCTTGTGACACAGTTGGGTGCTTTCCTCATTGTGTGTCCTATCCACTTCCAGTGCTCCTTCCTGCTTTCTTCCACCGCTGGAACTGCAATTTAATCTATCATAGGAATTCCGTATGATGTTGACTATATATTTAAGCACTCCGTGGTGCCGAAGAAGCATACATAGTGTTGTCCTATCCACGCTATCAAATGCTTTTTCGTAGTCAATGAAGTTGATGTAGAGTGATGAATTTTATTCAACTGACTGATCCACAATAATCCGTAGTGTTGAGATTTGGTCTGTACACGATTGATTCTTACGGAATCCAGCCTGTTGGTCTCGAAGTTGTGCGTCTACGGAGTCTTTCATTCTGTTTAATAATACCCTGTTGAAGAGTTCTTCTGGCCTTGAGAGAAGAGTGATGTTCTTGTAGTTATCACACTTGCTCAGACCGCCTTTCTTTGGTATTTTGATCAGAAATCCTTCTTTTCAGTCTATTGGTATTTGTTCTTTGTCCAAAATCTTGTTGAAGAGAACGTGGAGTAACTTTGCAGTTACCCCTACGTCTGCTTTCAGTGTCTCTGCTGGAATGCTGTCAGGTCCTTTTGCTTTGCCACTCTTGATTTGTCTGATGGTCATGATCTCTTCAGTTGTTAGTGGGCCAACAATATATATATATATATATATATATATATATATATATATATATATATATAAACGCGCTGGAGTTGCTTGGTTTGCCTGTTAAACTATCTTACTTAATTAGATAACAATTGAATTCCGACATAGTATGTTAAATTTATTCTCTTTACATCAGATTTGTACATCAAGATTTGTATGTGTTCATTCCATATATTATACATCCTCATATTCAAGAGTTAATAATCTTACTTTTTCTAGTGTCATTTCGTCTGTTACAATTTACTATTTTAAATCAAAAACTTTTCAGGATTTTTCTTATATTATGAATGTAAGAAAAAAATCGGCTATAAACATTGGTCTACCTAATTACCTCACCGTCGATGTAATTAACATTTCAGAAATTAAAAATGATCATCAGTAATGTTGTCGGCATAAAAACTGTAATACTTTCGTCAGTCTATATAGATTTGACAACATATTACAGTTTTAAAAATTTTCTATCCTACTGATGCTTCATTTTAGGACTATCGTTTGTTTATTTAATTAATTACTAAAGCACTAACTCAATGTAAAGAGAATTCACTATAAATCTTGTTTATAAACTTTAATCCATTAATATCATCCAAACCATGAGCACATGACTTCTTCATTGATTAGAACTAAAATTATATTAATAACAGATAACCTATAAATTAAACAGTAAATTACATGTTTTATATGTTGAATATCTTCCTCCATTTGTAAACAGACTTTGACTCGTTTATCTTAGTGATCTGTTGTCTGTTGTATAGATCATCATTCATAACATAAATACCTTGGTACACCTCAATTTCTGATTTTAGATGACTAGTAACTAAATCTTTAATGAATATCAATTGCAGATACACCTTTCTGAAAAGAACGAACAACACAGGATCTATGTTATAAACTTCAGCTAATTAACATAGGAAAAGTAAAATAGTGAAATACTCATTTCCAGTAGTCTGATTAAATGGGTAAAATTCTGATCTTATGAACCTCACTATTTCAGTATAACAATTCAATCAGTTGTAACCACCCAAGATGTTATTATAATACTATTTAGTTATGAAAATACAAAACTATGACAATATTACTAATCCAACTGAATAAATAATTAAACAGATGAATTTTCTCCTCAGGAACTACTCTATTAATAATCTATTTGGAATCTAAAGACCTTGACCTATTATTTTGTAGACAGTAGGTCTAGACCATTGAGATATTGGTAATCCATTCTCCAGACGCTTAGATTAATAAGTCATATTTACAAAGTTTATAGTATACAAACGTACAGAACACTTTTGTAAATTATTTCACAGTTCACACCTAGAATAGTATTGACAACAATAAAAAGTTTATCAGTCAATAAATTGTATTTATTAAAGTTTAAGAGAATGAGACTAATTTTTTTGTTAAAGATTCTAGGCTAAATTAGTAATTATGTACAAGTTAGTTTATTTGTTTTAAAAGTTACCTATTGTCTAAAGATCATTTAATATTTATAGCATTCAAAGTAATCCATTGCATAAACATACATACACAAGTTCAGATTCAAGTAATTATTGTTTTCAATTATCCATACTTTATGTTCTTATTTTAGTTACTATGTTAACAACAGGTGTGAAGAATGTCGGGTGTCAAAGTGTTCCTCTTTTATGTATTTAAATGAAATATGATCGTACATAGAGTGTCATTTTATGATTACTTCAATAAAACATAATATTCATAGTTTCATAGTTGAATTCATCAGTCAATCTACACTAGACCACCATTTAAAACCTGAAAACACTGGATGACCGTTTCGTTCTAGTATGAGACTTCTCAATAGTGCACATCCACGATCCCAAATTAGAGGTGATCAAACCCGAGATCTTTAGTCTCGCTCCCAAACGTTTAACCTCTAGATCACTGAGCCGGCATCTAACGGTGTTGATGTCTAACTTCAACAAATCCACGATATTGTGAGACCGTTCACCACTGTCTTCAATGAGTAACTGCCTCACAACAGACACGGTTGAATTATATTCATGAATTCAACTATTAAATTACCACAATCTCCAAAAATCCCCATTCTGATAATATTCGTAATAGTATTAAAGAATTATGTTAATGATGATTTTGCTTATTTTTTCATTATCCTATATGAAACTGTCTAGCAAAATTTTAAAATGTTGGATGGAACTATGTAGTGAAGGAGAGAGAACAGTAATTTGTTATATCATTGTACCCAGTTTCATTTCAACTAGTTGTATATATGAGTTCAGTATAAATATCATACTGTCTAAATATGTGCAACCTCTGAATCTGTTGGGTTTATTTACTTAATGGTATTAAATGCTTAGAGATGATCACCTAGTGAACCTCGATACGAGTTTTGTGGTATTTCCAACTCATCATTAGGAATTATTTATGACTTTAAAGAAAATGATGATTTTGGAGTAATTTGAATCAACAGCTCCACGACCAAATCATCCAGCTCAGAGAACAAAACTCCACCAAAATCATCCACCTGAGCTACAAATCTCCTCCACCATCTCAACATCATTCATTGTCATAATTAGAGGCTTTACAAGTTGACTTTTAAGGCTAGAACTAAGTATCTTCTAACCTGTCACCCAATTTTATGTATTCACTTAAAAAATTAAAACTTTCTTTCAAGGTTAATTTTCATACTCGTACAGAATTTATATTAGGAATCCGACAAATGTTCTAAAATATGAATGGATGCAAATTTTGCTTCCTGAAGTCAGTTAACTCTAGGGGGCAAATAATTAATTATTACTACTATTGTTTTGATGAAAGTACTTTAATTCGTAGATTTTCGTTACATACTGACCTCATTCAAAATACCATCGGCAATAGGCACTTGTTTCAACTTATTATGGAATACATCAAGAGAATCTGGATCAATAAATCAAACTATTAGATTGGTATCTGATGGTACGCATTATCACAATTTATTCTAGTAACAGCATTTTCCATCCGTTTTTTTTTTTATTGTTCGGTGCTTATGATCTAACTGTCCCACTTATACCTCATTGTATGAGTGGATAATAATCGATGAAGAAAAGTAAATATATGTCATCTATACATATATATATATTGAATTATGTGAAACAGATCAAATTTAATTTAGACATTCATCAGGGAAAAACTAATAACAATGCTCATTGACGACGTTACCATTCATCGTTTGATTAAATATAAGGGTATTTCAATAGTTTAGATCATGAGTCAATTGAAGCCAGAGCACTATGGAAAACCTGGAGACACTGGACGGCCATTTCATCCTATTGTGGGACTCCTCAGGTCTAGTGGTCTAGAAATTAAGCGTTTGAATATCACGAGGCAGGATTGTGGATATGCACTACTGGGGAGTCCCACAATGGGACGAAATGGCTGCCCAGCGCTTCCACGTTTTCCATGGTGGTCAAGCTTTAATTTACTTATGATCACAACTATGGAAATTACTATAATATCCACAAAATTCCCTTCTGATATAGATATCTATTCAACAGTCTGTGAAATTTATTGTTAAAATATGATTAATACTTATGGCAATTTACAGAGAAATAAACGACCATTTTGTGATGAAACATGCAATATGAAGAAGGTTAGTCTTTTATTTTAAGTAGTATACTCGATTCATTACTGTTATGAGAAGAGCTAAAAGTCACTGTACATGTACATGAAATCTATTAATAACTTTAGAAATGACATACAAAAATAGATATGACGTTAAGATTCAAATAAGAAAGAAGAATAAAAGTAAACATGTGAAGATTTGTCATTTGGAGGAAGGATGCCAAATCCTAGACAGAATTTTATCGAGCGAAAGTATGAATTTAAGTAGTAAGATTAAAATATTATAATTTCTATTACATTATCAACATGTTAATGGAAAAATAGAAAAAATATTAATGGATTAAGTATCATAAATTGGCAATATCCCAATGTAAATGATTGTGATGCATAGTGTTATGACTTTGTGTCCGGCTTTTTATCACGTGATTTATCCATCAATCAAAATACGACTTATACAATCCTAGCACTGTGCCAAACCAATGATGTTCGACCGGTCTAGTGTCCTTATTGGTCTCATGTCCTCCTAGACCGTCCACTTGAGTCCAGAACACAATATCAGCTTCTGCAATATGAATCATTTATTTCAAACATACTCGGTTTATATATCAACCAGACAGACCACAACGTACTATAAAATAGGAAATAACATTTGTACATAATAAAGCCAAAAAGTGGCTGTGAACGTGGGAGGCAGTTGTTAATAAACTGAACATAGCTTAAGAACCGTAAATCGTACAATAATAAATTATAAGTCAAAATAAAGCTTATAATACGAGGAATATAAATATACATAATCTAATTATTGAATAGTTACACCATAAGAATATATAGGTAACATTAGTCAATTAATATGTCTCAGAAGTTACTCGTGATTTAATCTTCGCTTGGTATAAGACATAGAATTGATTGATTGAACTTGTAAGGACTATATATAACAATGATTTCACATATTTCAAAACTACCGTATATTGTCTACTCCTAATATGGTCTTTTATTAAAATCTAACTAATTTCACTTCAACGACAGGATTGTTGTTAACTCATATATCTACATTCAATTGATAAATATTACAGTTTAACCAACAAAATAGGCAGTTTCAATATCATTACTGTAAGAAATTGAATAGTATAACTTACTTTATTATTATTAAAAAGTCCAAATTTAGTACAAATTCGTTTTTCTATATAAAGTAAAAAACAACCAAAACAATGAGTCATATACACAACACAATTACTATTTTGAGTGGATGGATATAAAAGAAGAAAAAAGGAAAACAAACAGAGGTAGTGAATAAACGAACAAACTAACTAGTGTACTAACTATTTAAATATTAAACTGTACAATTGTTTTAATTCCCATAAAATTAATGAAAAGTCAATCAAATCGGCTTGAATTAAAAAGGGAACATTTAAAACTGTAAAGTAAATTGCATATTAGTATGAATGAATGAATGAATGATGATGATTATAAGTAATATAAATATAGAAATAAACTATATATTTATAGATTAAAATGAAGGTATAAACTGATTTTTCCCAAAGAATTGATTCAATCAATTTTCTTACCACTGTAATTATTCTTGTTCTGGTTACTACTACCATCATTATTATTATTATTATTATTATTATTATTATTATTATTATTAATATTGTTATTACTAATACTATTATTAGTATTATTACTATAAAAAGTAATGTATCTACCGCTCTATAGTGTTTATGATAGGCATATAAAAATTATATGTATGTTAGTTTATTATTAAATGAAGTAGTTAATATTTATATTACTATTTAATAAAAAAAATGTCAAATAACTATTCTTCATTTAGATATAAATGAATGTTATTTGATGGTGAGAAAAGAACTTGTTTACAACTGCCTCAAGGGAATATAAAATATGTATATTTAACACTTAATAAAATAAATATCACTGTTATTAAATAGTGGAATAGGCAAACATCTGTAAAAAAAAGAAGAAAAAAAGAGATGGAAAACCAAGAGAAAAAACGGTGAAATTGAACATTTGGCAGTGGTAGTTTTTTTTTGGGGGGGTATTGATGATGATGATGGTGGTGGTGGTGGTCGATTTTTAAGTGAACTGTCTATTAAACTATTTTGTTTGGTTGGTTTTTTCTTTATTATTTTACGTGGAAATTATATACATCAAATTACATAGCTGATAAATAAGAAGAGAAAAAAATATATAAAGAAAAATGATTATTAATTCTAGTTTGAATGAATATTACTTTGAATAGAGATTGAAAATTCTTGTGTTCCCAATTTGTACAAGATGTAAATATGAACATTAGTATCTTGAAAGTTTTAGTAATTTTCTGGTTAGCATTTTTTTAGCGAGTTAATTTTCTACGGGATGAGGTCGCTAACCCCATGCCCAACCCTCCTTATTTATCCGGGCTTGGGACCGGCAATAGCCCCCGGAGGGACTCCAGGAGGAATTAAAAGTTTTAATATGTAAAGTAAATTCTATTATGATGAAATGAAAGTGACAAAATTGCATTCTTTTTTATTGATTTTGACTTCTTATACAACATTAGTTCCATTTTTCATCCAATATGATAATTACCTAGTGTAGTATTTGTTTTTGTTTTTCAGTGTGATATTTTATTTGATATAACGTTGATTTACTTAAAAACAGTTTCGTTTTACATGTATCTTCCTAGTCTTACTTATAACTGCAATCGATCAGTCTCTTGTTGGCATACGTGCATCCTGTGCCGACTGTTTCGATATTGCCTTAAGTCACAAAAATGGATAGTGGCTAGCAGTAGAATCCAGAACACGAGTTTCTTCCTATTTGGAACTCGTCAGCTGAATGTCCCTGCATTCCAGAGTAGATGTTCACTCTGGAACTCAAACCCAGTACCGTTCGTTTCAAACGCTATCGCGTTATCCACTTAGCTACTGAGACCTGACAGCCACCTGTTTGTGTAATGGCGATGTTTATTCAAGATATATTCTTGTATTAATATAACAAGAACTATACACAGCATGACATACAACATGTAATTTATTCTCTGTGTATTTTTCATATATATGATCTCATTCTAATTAGTAATCAAATAGGTTTATAATCAATATATAGATGAGTGTATTTTCAACTAGGATTGTTGTGTTTTGCGGTTTAATAGATCTTGTATCAGTTTTGGTACTCTAACTTCGCGTCGTGGCGATCGCAATTGTTCCTCATTTAACAAGCATAGGTAATAAGCAATTCCGACACATCAATTAGTGACAAGTAGACATAACAATTGACGAGCAGTCATAACAACTTTGTTAGTATAATGTATTTGTTTCACAACAATATTATATCTTATTCTAATAATACTTATTTAATGAATTAATCCCAAGGGTATTTTTTAAAATTGTTTAGATATCATCGGTAAATGCTTTTACATTTCTTATTATTCGACATTCTGGCATTGACTCTTAGGTAAATTACGTTTGATATCTATATCAGGTCATCTATTCCAGTCTACTGAATCAGGTTATTTTTGTTCTAACGTGAATATTGACAATAATCTACATGGTAATACTTGACTATAAGTGTTAGCGGAATTGTTTGTCTAAGAATATCACAATTATAGAAAAAATATCTGAAATAGTGATAAATCGCTATCAAATTTGTAAGAATATTTCTTTGTTTGTTTACATGTACAGATATAGTCGATTATCTTTCTGAGTCACCATCTTAGAAGTATATCAGTTATAAAAGACTAAATTTAATCATCCTTTATGCTACTATACTTTTTATGAGGATTTGAAATCATTTGAATAAATGATGTTTACCAACATTTTAGAGCTTCTGGCCATTTTGTCAATAGTGACTACCCAACCCTTAAATTTTGATATATATATATATATATATATATATATATATATATATATATATATATTGCGCCACCGTCCACCATTGTCTTCAGTGAGCTAATATCTTACAACAGACCTGGTTGAAGTCCACTGGCCACGGCTTCTCACTAGAACTCCAGGAAATGCCTATTGAATTCAGTCACTAGTGAGCAGATGATTATTATCAGAAGGGGTTTTGTCGAGATTTTAGTAATTTCAGTAGTTGAAATCATGAGTCAATTGAATCTAAACCGCCACGGCAAACCTGGAAGTACGGGACTCCTCAGCAGTGCGCATCTACGATCTCGCACTCCTGCAAACAAACCGGTAAACATTCTCATTTGTGAATTTAAACATAAAGTAATTAATTGTAATAACTAATTTTCAACAATGGATTAGATTAAATTCATCATTTTTATTTACTCTCACCTAGTTAGAATGATAGACAAGTTTTCAATCGAGATCTGTGATTACTTTTTCTGTCTGGATCCAATCTGTCTAGACAAATCATAAACATTATAAGCATAAAGAATATTTAGCTTTTCATAGAAAATAAACATGACAACATTAACATAATAAAATAATTCATTCATCATTTAAGTTATAAAGAAAAAAAAGTGGTACACAATTCAAGAATGTATATCTTTTGTTTAAGAACCTCAAATACACGTTCTCTATGAAATGTGAAGGGAGTTTTTTTCTCAGATGAAAAGTGAATATAGTTTATCAGTCAATTTTTTGTGTGTTCACATTCGGTTAATGCATTTATAGATATACGTCGAAGATTATTAAAGCATAACAATACACTTCATTTCTATATTGGTTATTTAAGTCTTTCCATTGATGTTTAGGACTGTGGTTGACTAATCTCTTATTGTCATATGTGTATCGTCTGAGGATTGCCTCGATATTACATTAAGTCACAATCTTTATAAGCAAAGGTGGATAGTGGCTAGCAGTAGAATTCAGGACACGAGTTTCGTCCTATATTTGGATTCATCAGCCAGATTTACCTGCATCCTAGAGTTGATGTTCACTCTGGGACTCGAAGCCAGTACCGTTCGTTTCAAACCCTATCACATTATCCACTTAGCTACTGTGTCTTGGCAGTCACTAGCTTGTGCAATGGGATGAAGTTTAAATTCACTTGATGCTGTTTACTTTTGTCTTCCCACATATTTATTTAAGATTTAATACAATCATTAAAAAGAAATAAAGCAATAATTCTGGTCAAATTACATCATTTATATGAAAGTGTTCCTTGTTACTTACAAAAAACAAACAAACAAAAACAGTCGATTGTTACAACACATGATGTTTTAAACTCTATAAACATTTTAAATATAAAATTGCTTTATTCATTTCGATGTGATACATTGAATCTATATATTAGCAGTTCAATTCAATTGATATAACATTTGGCAATAACTATGGGTGAATTACTCAACTTATTATCCATACGTAAGTCTCTTTTTATTTATTTAATAAGACTATTAATTTTATTCATTTAATTTAGTCTACAGAATTTCTGGAAAAGCAAAAAAGACTTTTTTTTATTATCAGGAAGGGGTATTGTGGATATTATAGTAATTTCAATAGTTGAGTTCATGAATCAATTGAAACTAGGCCACAATGAAAAACCTGAAAACACTGCAAGACCATTTCATCCTAGTGTATGATTCCTCAGAAGTGCACATCCACGCGCAAATGCTTAACCTCTACACCACTGAGCCAGACCGCATCCAACGGTATCAACGTGAAACTTAAACTAATTCACCGAATTGGGCAACATATTCACCATTGTTTTCAGTCAGCTATTATCTCACAACAGACCTGATTGAACTCCACTATTCACTGCTTCTCACTAGAACTCTAATAAATACCTCTTGAATTCAATCACTAGTGAGTATATGTTGATTAATATCAGAAGGGGTTTTTGTGGATATTATAGCAATTTATTATTATTACTATAGCATATTCTTTCTATAATAAATTCTCAACTGATTCAAGATTCAAATTAATGATTCAGAGTAATAGTCAGGTATAAGTAAAATGTATTTTTTTTAAAATACAGTGGATAGTAATAGGAATTTGTCTTACTCACTTACTTACGCCTGTTACCCATCATTGAGGAGAATAGACCGCTTACCAGAATCTTCTATCCAATTCTGACATGCACAATTCTTCCCTTGAACTCGAAGGTTGGAGTTTAAATAATTTAAATTGTTTATCCTGGTTAGCGTTTTTTAGCAGCATTGTTTTCTGTGGGATGGGTTTACCGACCCTACTCTCAACCCTCCTTCTTACCCAGGCTTGTGACCGGCAATAGCCCTAGAAGAGCTACAGACGGAGTTTTTAGGGATTCATAGTAGAATAACATTACAACTGTCAAAAAATACCAGTTTGAATAATCTTTTAGATAATTCATTTAAACTGTAGAATTTGGTGAAAATTTGTTCAAAAGAATATACTTCCTTTTTTGTATATCTTTATTTAATATTCATCGGAATTTTTAAAGGATTGAAACTACCTATTCATCCAAATGTTTACTGTTCTAGACGGCGAGATAAAGGAATAAACAAAGTAAATAATAATAATTTCATCCGTATATATTTAATTCAGTCACCAAGAGCTGTAGTCTAAACAGTTTTGATAATTTTTAATATCTTAACCATTAATCATTTAATGGTACTTTGAATACAGTAAGTAAATCTAACGACAACAACTTTAGAGTGTGTAAAATGTTGACTAGAAAGTTCATATAATACTGGATACTTTCTAATTCCTGGCAAAATTGAAAAAGAAAATCTAAGTATTTCCATGGTTATTTGGAATATTTATTATATTAGTTTATATGTTGATAATTAAAATAAAAAGAAGGTATATTTATGGTAAGTACAGTTAGTTATCTTATTATTGATGAAAATAACTCGCCATTTAATTTTACATTAGAATTTATTTGATATAATGGTATGGGATTTGTCATGAAGACGAATAAATCAATATCTACGATATTGGTCTAACAATAGGAAATTAGGTCTTTCATCTAATCACTAATAAATCAACATTAAAAACTGATGACTATTATGTTGGTATAATGATGTTATAACTTTACGAATAGTTACCTAATGTTGTTCAGTGTTTATTATTAATCGGGTTGATTAAGTTGAATATGTTATGAGTAAACACCTTATGACCGTACATATCTATCATGAATGAATGCAAAAATCACTCCATGTAATCTATGGATTTCATATCAATAAAATACAATAATAATTTATGAAATGGGTCATGAAAAATTCAACCTCCGTCATATGAACAACATAAAATGTGGCGAAAATACATTTAATTAAAAATTAATTATAATTTAAGCATTATTTGATTTCACGTACCGACCAAGACTTAGAAGTACAGTGTAGGTAACATTTTTACGATTTGCAAACTTTCGTTGTTAATACTATAAGTCACATTCATCAAAGTCTGTTGATATATGGATTGTTTGTACAAAGGACCCAGTCTTCTGTGAGTCATAAGATTTATGCTTTCTATACTGTTCCGGAGACAAAATTAGAATATGATAGAAGGTCATTAAGTGAATTCACCTAAATCTTAGTTTTTATCTCATTACAACTCAAATCCAAATTACAATTCAACCCAAATGAAGGAGTATCATTTAGAAAGCCAATGATTAACTAACGTTTAAGACCATTTCATTAATTACAATGAAAAAATTGAACTAAAGTATTTTAATATTTAGATTGTCAAATTGTAATACTGTGATATTTTATAAGGTAGGAACAGGTGTCTACCTCAGTACAATGGAAGATGGTCGTGCAATTTCGTGAATTGGTTGGGGTTAGACATTAACACCATTGGATGCTGGCCGGATCAGTGATCCAGTAGGTTAAGCTTTCGCGCTCGAGACTGAAGGCCCTGAGTTCGAATCTCGGGAGCGGAATCGCAGAGGAGGAATCCCACAATAGGACGAAATGGTCGTCCAGTGCTTCTAGGTTCAGCTCATGATCGCAATTAAATAACACAACATTGATTGTCTACGATATATATGCATAGTCTATATTTATTATAATATTACAACAGAAATGAGATAGATGAAAAAGAAAAAAAGAACGTACATATCCTGTGATTAGAACTTACTATTTCAGGTTACCAGAATATATCAACAACAAGAAGAAAGTTTCATTTTTAGATTCATTAGTGCAGAATTCCTTTTGTTTTCAAAAAACAAACAAACAAACAAACAAACAAACAATAATTTTGTTTATAACAAATGTCAATAGACTAAACATTTCCGGATTCGATATTCTATTCATTTCATTAAAGATTTTTATTATCATTTATGAAAGTAACCAAATAAGGTTAACAGTTTTAGTTTATAATAATAACAAATAGTATTAATGGTTAATTATTAATTTAAAATAAAACTCCTTCCAATTGATTAATTTTATGAGTATTGTGTTTGATATTGTTTAGGATTCGTTGAAATAGTTTTTTTTTTAATCAAAGGAAATATTATTAATGAAATAATCATTCAAATTCAATAGTTGTCTAGCTTCAATTCACTCATGATTTCAACTATTGAAATGATTATAATATGCAGAAAAAAACTCCTTCTGATATTAATCAACATATACTCACTAGTGATTGAATTCAAGAGGTATTTCATGGAGTTCTAGTAAGAAGCAGTGAATAGTGGAGTTCGATCAGGTCTGTTGTGAGATAATAGCTGACTGAAAACAATGGTGAATATGTTGCCCAATTCAGTGAATTAGTTTAGTTATACGTTGATACCGTTGGATGCAGGCTGGCTCAGTGGTGTAGAGGTTAAGCATTTGCGCGTGGATGTGCACTTCTGAGGAATCATACACTAGGATGAAATGGTCTTGCAGTGTTTTCAGGTTTTCCATTGTGGCCTAGTTTCATATGATTCATGAACTCAACTATTGAAATTAAGTAAATTTCTTTACTTATTCTATTTATAGAATTATTACAATCATTTTATTTGTCAAAGATTTATATCACTTAATTAGTGATATTTCCTTTCAAAAGTAGGTGATTTTTTTAATATATAAACTCTTCAAAATATGGATTTATGGTTTATTTTTTGAACTCTTGAAACTAGTATTTAATAGTTGAATTCATGAGTTTATAAGTTTGACCACAATTGGAAATCTAGAAGTATTAGACGGTTGTTTCATCCTAGTATGGAACTCTTTAGCAGCGCACAACCACGGCCTAGCTTACATCGACTCATGAATTCAACTCCACAAACCCTATTCTAATATTGATGTTTGACTTTAAAAAATCAATTCCTAATATTAATTTATTCAACATACATGTCCTATAGATTCTTATAAGTTTATATCCTAAAATGATGGTATAGTAGCTGTAGTTAGAAAATAATGAATAATTTAAGTCAGAAGTATGGTAGCTTAACAAATGTGATAATGTACTCCTTAATATTTTTTTAGTTTCCTGTTCATTCAAATCTCGTTTTTCATAGACAGAGACATACTGAGGATGACTACTTAACGGATATCAAACGATCTCTGTATAATCTAAAAACAACATTGCTAAGGCAAGTATTCAATTTTTAAAAAAATTACTAGGTATCACAGTTCTTACAATTCAACTAGGTTACATAAAGGTTTATTATAGAACACTGAATTACTGGTACACTTTTCTGTCATACTTTCAAGATAACAAAATATTTCACCCCAATCTCAGGTGTAACCTTTAGAAATAATGATTGATAGAGTCTAGGTAAATTGAGGAAGTTCGTCAAGTCTAATCGGTGATACAACTTAATAACCCTATTTTGTAGAACGTTTGTCAGGCAAACTCTTATGTATGTTCAAAGTATGTCATAAATTAATGTCGATAAATGGGAAAATGATTAACTCACGGAAAAATTCCTACCTTTCATATTGTATATATATATATATATATATATATATATATATATATATATATATATATATATATATATATATATATATATATATATATATATCAAAGAATACAATCAGCTATACTCTTTTCAAAAAGGTTTACAGCATAAGTAAAAGAAAATAATCAACATACAAGTAGGTAAATCGGTCCACATTTCTGTTCATACAAAAAGTAATCCATGTGTCATAAACAACATATATCATAAATGGTATTACAATATTTATAGTATTATTATATACATAAATATTATTTAACAAAGAATACTCAATCAGATGGTAATATTAAAATATTACTTAGAAAATACTATAAAGTAAGCACAATAAAATACGTTCGTTACATTAAAATGTAAGCAGGTGGGTAACTGAATCGATTGGTAACTTGATAGACCACACAGTGGAATGTTTGTTTACATCAGTTAATATTACGTGTATCCTGCTCACACATATATATAATGGTACTTCCTTTCAATAATAGAAAACTGGTTTATAAACGTTTTTTTTACATTCCAGATTATCATCAAAAACTTTAGATATAATTAGAGATTATGCATGATGATTGTAACACAGTATAATTAATCGAAATAGAAAATCTCAAAATAATAGGAATGTTATATTAACGAAATTGATGAAAGTTATACGACATTCCTTTAATTTCAAGTTTAAAAAGAGATTTTAATGGTTGAGATTAAAATGAAGCTAGACCACCGTGGAAAACCTGGAGGCACTTGACGGCCGTTTCGTCCTAGTATCGGACTTCTCATCAGTGCGCATCTACGATTCCGCATGCGGACTAAGATACTAACTAAACAAGGTTAGGTTACTTTTCAATAATAAATCAGTTGTAAATATCTCGGTACTACAGATGATCACTCGTACTCCTAATAGCTCAATGATAGTAGACTAGACTGGGTGACTCAGTTTAAAAGCAACTAGGGAGTATCAGTTTCCTCAAGAATTCTCTAACATTGAAATACTAGTCGTTAAAGTCAATTTCAAAATTTATGAAGCAGAAAAACTGGAGCAATGATTAGTAAATAATCTGGTGTCAGCACATTACCAAAAATAGAGAATTGTCTTAACACCAATAGTCAGCAAACACTGTTGTATCGCTGAAATCAGTTCGTTTGAAGTGCTATTTATGAACTATATACATTGCCGTATAAATCTGTTTATAATCCTAAAACGTTATCGAATATTCATTAAATAAAAAACTCAGATAGAAAACAAGTAGATATACAATTTCAGCATGTTCAGAATTTAGAAGTGTATATGTACTATATAAAGTCTGGTTATTTGTTTCACCATTGTCAGTATCTCTTTTTAATATCAGAAGGGGTCTTGTGGATGTTATAGTAATTTTAATAGTTGAGATCATGAGTCAATTGAGGCTGGACCACCATGGAAGACCTGGAAGCACTGGACGGCTGCTTTTTCCTATTGTGGGACTCAGCCGTGGGCATCCACGATCCCCCCTGAGAATTCCCATACTAGGACGAACCGGTCGTCCAATGCTTCCAAGTTTTCGATGATGGTCAAACACGTCTATCTATTTATGATATCAATTCACACTCAACAATCTCCACAACCCTAAACTGATAATATCTTAGTGTTGATAGAATTTTATTGATCGAATTGCAATAATTCACCAAACTAATTATTGATGAATCAATATTTAGCAAATCAATAAAATTCATCATATGATTATATACTGTTCATTTGGCTTGAGATAATGCACTATGACACTTTCTACAATTTTTGACAGTCACATATCATTAAAATTTGATTGATTACCGAATTACATTATCATATAGACGAATTATTGACTAGTTGATCAAATAATCAGTAACTCAAACATCGCAAGATTATTATTTTTCTTCTTTTTTTTACATAAATATAAATATTTTCCCAATGTAACCTCATATTCTTCATAGAATTGTCAAAAGAGTATTAACCATCTAATTTCTGATGCCGTATGGGTATTCACTTCAGAAGAGATTCAATCTAAAACAAAATAATTGTCTGATGCTTTCTGATACTCAAGATTTTTCTGGTTGAGCACGGTTTTTGATGATAACGATGTTTTTTTAAAGTAATTATTCGTATACATTAAATGTAAAAATTATGTTATTATTAGCTTCTCACTACACATAGTTGTTTAATTTTAGCCCGACACTAGTCAGTTCTTCAATGTAATTATTAACTTATGAGATCATAACAGTTGTCATCTGATATAGTTTAGAGGTAATAACTTTATTAGTAACATTTTCGAGTCCCCATTATCTAAAACTCTAAAAAGAGAACATACACTGAAAAGATGAGACTAATCAACACTTCTTTAGAATTGAATTCTCATTATAGAATGTAACATCTATGTATGAACTTAACATATTTTCAACTAAATAGGTTCTCATGCATATTATTATTATTATTACTATTATGATCATCTCATTTATCAGGTACGGATTCATGTATTTGGCTTTGATCCATACTATACACGTGAGAGTTAGTGATACAACCAAGTTATCCAAATCAAAGTACGTGAATCGGAGTTAAGACCTACGACTCAGTAGCTGAAAGCTGAGTGTCTTGATCACTGAGCCATTGTTCCACAATATATACTGTAAATCACGGAGGTTAATATATCATCAGTGTTTGAAATATTAATTTGTTAAATTTGAAGGATTGGCTCACTCAGAAATTCGCTGTTGGTATATATATATATATATATAGTCTATGCCCAATTTTTATCGGACCATTCATTCCAAAACACTGTCAACCAACTCAGAATCTTTAATACCAACGTCAAGACATTTCTACTGTACAGACCTGAAACGTGGAAAGCCACTACAACTATCATCAAAAATGTACAAGTATTTATAAATAGCTGTCTGCGCAAGATACTCAACATCCATTGGTCGGATGCCATCAGCATCAGCTTACTGTGGGAGATAACAAACTAGCTTCCGCCTGAAGAGGAAATTAGGAAAAGACGTTGGAAGTGGATATGACACACATTTAAGAAATTATCAAACTGCATCACGAGGCCAGCGCTAACTTGGAATTCTGAGGGGAAACGAAAAAAAGGAAGACCAAAGAACACATTACGTTGGGAAATAGAAGCAGATATGAAAAGGATAAATAACATCTGGAAACAACTGGAAAGGATTACCCAGGACAGAGTTGGATGGAGAATGCTGGTGAGTGACCTATGTTCCTCAATGAGGGGTAACAAGTGTAATTAATCAAGTAAACAAACGTGAGATATTCCTTTTGAATGGTAAAAATAGTTAATGATTCAAACAAAAAGCATCGCTTAAATTTATTTTTATTTTAACCAAAAAGTAGATAACGATCACACCATGACATTAGATCATTTGATGAGGTTTAACAATTTAAAGATCATAGTTATAGTCGACATGATAATTGCAATTTATAGTTAAGAATGGGTTTTGTGGAGAGTTTAAGAAATTTCACAAGTTGAAATCACGAGTCACTAGTGACTGATTTCAGGAAAAAACTCCTGGAGTTCTAGTGAGAAGCCGTTACCAGTGGAGTTCAACCGGTCTGTTGTGAGATAACAACTCACTGAAGACAATGGTGTACGGTGGCGCAACTTCGTGGATTGGTTGAAGTTAGACATTAACACCGTTGGATGCCGGCTCAGTGGTCTAGTGGTTAAGTGCTCGCGCGCGAAGCCAGTAGGTCCTGGGTTCGAGCCTCGCGTGGTGCGGGATCGTGGATGCGCACTGCTGAGGAGTCCCATACCAGGACGAAACGGCCGTCCAGTGCTTCCAGGTTTTCAATGGTGGTCTAGCTTATAGTTGAGAATTTATAAGTTGTACTTTATTATTCAGTTACCAAATCATAGATATATTTATTGTTTGTATCCTTTCAAATAATAATCACAGTTTGTCATTTGTATTTGTCCCTTAGGAATTCGACTCTATTCGTTTAGCTTACCAATTAAATTGCTTTATTTGACTTTTATTCAGTTGATTTCTTACCGTTACGTTTATATAAAGTGTAGATATACAAAATTGATGTAAACTTTTGTAAATCTCTATATCTTTAAAAGTTAATTAACTATACGATTTAAACGGCTTGAACAAATAACTGATTATGAGAAATATGAAACAAATGAAATTTCGATATTAAAACATGTTATAAATCTAAGTAAAGATGGATGGTGTTTAACGGTGGAATCCAGGACTCGCATTTCGACCAACTCGGGACTCGTCAGCTGAATGTTAATAATGAGAATGTTTATCATAATATCATATCTTTCGGTATTTAGTCGGAATGTATATATACAATTAAGCCAAGAAAAACACATTATTTCTTAAATGTTAGGAGTAAATTATAACTCATTAGTGTATAAAATACAAAAGTATAAAAAACCACCTTAAACTTGACATTCTATGATTTATTTATACATGTATCATTCCAACGTTATTAGTTATACTAATGTTTCACACATATCTATTGGATGCACATGAATACTACTACTACTACTAGTACTGATAATAATAACAATAATCTATAAACGTCGGTTAATCATTTTAATAACAATTACCCTCTACTTAATTACTTAATTACTTACTTTGAAGGGACTAATCATAAATAAGTCCCAATATAATTACTTACTAATCATTTTTATATATTTTTATGAATTACTTAATGAATTCCATAGTTTTAATTGAATAATATAATAATGAGTAGTAAACGGTAAAGAATTTCAATTTGGATATCATACATTGAAGTGAGAAAAAAAATTGTTCACAAGATTTACATTGGCAGTTTTTTTCTTTCTTTCTTTCTTTCTTACTATAATCTTAATTCAGTTACCATGTATGTAATGATTTATTTTAAAACGTCTATAAAATTTTCAAGATTTTTTTTTGTTTTTTTTCGTTGTTCACTCAATTAGTAACCAACACATTTATCATAAATAATAATCGTATTTCATACGGTTACTGATTAATACATATCACATCATCTATTGACCAGATAGAGGATAATTTATTACATCAGTAATTTATATATTTATTCACACCTCATCATGTGAACTAATTTCACTCTTATTCAAACATTAAAATAACCGGTAAATCATTATTCAAAGAGAAAAACAAGAAAAAAAGATTTAGGTATCTTTAAGTTACTGTAGTTTCTGCTACGTGTAAG